CCCCGGAGGCCTGCAGGGAGGAGGATGCCGCGGAAGTCCGGGAGAGGTGGGAGTGACCGCACGCGGAGCAAGGGGCCCCTGCGGAGCGCAGAGGAGTGCGCGCCACGAGACAGGGTTGGCGGTCAGCGAGCCCCAGTTCCGGCGTCGGAGAAGGGCAAGGGAGAGCCGGGACACGGGCGAAGGTGTGGAGATGAGGCTGGAGCTGTTCGTGTTGGAGGAAGGTGGGCAGCTAGCGTGAGTAGTGTGGGCTAGAAGGACAGCAAATTAGGGACCAAGTGAGGGAGTAGGAGAGCTGTCCTGCCTCGGCAGCCAGCAAGGACCAAGTCCCGCCCTGGCCATGTGTCTTCCGTTGCTCTCGCTGGAAACCACCCTCGCAGCAGGACCCGCTTCGAACTGTCTACCTTGGGACCGGACAGGGTTTCCAACTGGAGGGAAAAATCTCTGCAGGGAGTTTGGCAGGGCGTGGAAGTCAGACAGGTTTGTAGAGGTGCCTGGGAACTCCTACCAGCCAGTTCGCCAGGGGAAAGTGAGGAAAGTCGATGCGGGGCACAGAAGGTTTAGGAAGAGATGGAAGCAGAGTAAGGGGAAACAAGAGGCAACAACTTTGTGGGTGCCGGTGGGTGTTGTTTTTTTTTTATTTGTCCCATAGAGAAACCCAGGGTGAGTCATGAAACTGTTGGGAGTGAGGACGGCGTCTCTGGTGTCCCCTTCCTGGGCTCATGGGAGAATATTTGGTGCTATTGTAGCTCCGATCTGCCATAGCTCCAGACACTTGTATCAGTATCCCTTGTCACTTGATCATCAGTCAGAAGGTTGTGGGGGAAGGTGGTTCATGAAGGAAAGCTCTCCTTTCTTCTCTTCCTACCCATCTTTCCTGAGACAAAGCAGTAATAAATAAAACGGGCAGTACAGTGTTGTAGGGCAGCAGGAGAAGTTAATGACAACAGGTTAGGACTTACGTACTTTCTGGGAAGACATACGGGATAGTTTGGGGCTTGAATGGTCCCTCACCAGTAATGTGATGTGTGCGGCACGGGTGTGGCAGGGATCCAGGCTTGTCCCTGTAGCAGTGAGAAGGGAGTGGGCCTCTGTGAGGCTCCAGGTACCAGGCTGTGCACCAGGGAGCGGCTTATGTACCCTGATATTACATGCTTTGACCTGGGGTCCTGTGATGGCTTGCTTGGGGTATCCGCAATCCGTGGGGCTGTTCCTCCAAGAACGAGCATGGATAGTTGTCCTGCGCCCAGGTACCTTCAGATATCCTGATGGCACCCACCTAAAGTCGCTAGAGACAAAGGTCATCATGGGAGTGGGGCTGGAGATCACCGTGTAATTGTCCTCCTTCCTAGGAAGGCGGAGGTGCAAAGTTGTGCTGACCTGCCCATCTCCCTCCCCACCCCCAGGCCTATGAGCTGTCCACGCTGACAGGGACACAGGTGCTGTTGCTGGTGGCCAGTGAGACAGGCCATGTGTATACCTTTGCCACCCGCAAACTGCAGCCCATGATCACCAGTGACACCGGCAAGGCACTGATTCAGACCTGCCTCAACTCGCCAGACTCTCCGCCCCGCTCTGACCCCACCACAGACCAGAGAATGAGCGCCACTGGCTTCGAAGAGACCGATCTCACCTATCAGGTGTCAGAATCTGACAGCAGTGGGGAGACCAAGGTGTGTGTGTGTCCCCTAGGTGAAAGGAGGGGAGGGAAGGGGGTCTATTTCCCTCCCTGGCCCATCCCAGGCAGACAGGTGCCCATTAAAGTGGAGTAGAGCCCGGTGGGTGCCCCTCATCCTAGGGGACAGGTGTCCAAGCTCCATGCCCGATGAGAGGCCGGCCCTCTAGATAAGCGGGCGGCCTCCGTGCCCATATAAGGCCGGCTCGGGCTCCACGCCGG